TTTTCATTTAAATAATTCAGTTTTGGGGTGATGCCTCAATGAACTCAAACAGACAGTAAACACCTGGTGGAAATTTCACAAGTTAAAAATAGCAACAAAACTTTCTGAATTCCCTACGAAGCATGAATGTAGAGTACAAATTGGTTTACCTCTAAGAAGGGAAGGGAAGGGAAGGGCCATTCTTATGAAATGACATGGAAAACTATTAAGATTTTTAAATCTTATGCTGTAACTTATGCTTCCAATATAGAAGCATCCAGGTATTTGAAGCAATTTTATCTCAGAAAGTATAACTAAATATTACATTGATGATGATTGATATTGTTATTTTCCTATATCAAAAAGCCCATTCCAAATAAACTAGCTTCATAACAAATTCCTGAATAGTGAAAGGGATTTTGGGATTGTAGAGTTCCAGGTCAGATACTTAATTTATATATTTATGGAACTCATTTATGTGATGTGAGAAGTCAAAATGAACTCAATATAGCCACTTTATAAATTAAGAGTAATGTTGAAGAACAAACCCGTACTGGATTTGTCATTGAGCAATCACTGATTAAGCATAAGTAAATCATAACTGAATGCAAATGAAGGCAGGCAAATCTATAATAAAGAATACTATAGATGGGGGAAGCAAGGGGGGCACAGCTTACTTACGGAGCATATCTTTATTGAATAAGGTTTCAGTTTTAATCTCCAGCATTTCCATGTTTAAAGTTACAGGATAGAAAAATCTTCTGCCTGAGAGACTGAAGATCTAATGTCACTAGCAAAGCAATTATAGGCTTGAGGGATCAACATGAAGAGCTAAGTTGACATACTTCATATTCTTTGAGTCTAAATACAGGTAGTCCTTGCTTAATGACTAGTCATTTAACAATCATTCAAAGTTATGACAGACTTCCCCAAAAAAGTTACTTATGACCCATCCTCGAAATTATGACTGCTATCACCCACACACCCCCTCACCTTTGTCATGTTCAGGCATTTGGCAACCAGCCCACAATCACTTGTAGCATTGCATAATTACCTGGCCATGATTTATGACACCTTTTGCTTGTTTATGTCAAAAAATTCCATTCAGGAGAATGGATTCAGTTAATGATCATGTGATTCACTTAATGACCATGTGATTTGCTTTAACGATCATGGTGACTCACTTTACAACTGTCATAACAACGATCATAAAATTGAGTCAGGTCACGCAGAGACTGCAATGATTTCCAATCAAAATTCCAGATTTGATTATGGTTGTTAAATGAAGACTACCTGTAGTTTACATATACAAGGACAGCTGTGCAAAATCATATACTTATGCGCTCATATATATGATTTTTGCACCATGTTTGTTTATGTATATGTGCTGCTCTCTGTATGTTTCTTTGTATGTTATCCCTGGCTCTGTGTCTATATATCTCTTTGTTTCCTATGGCTAAACATATGCTTAACAGTTAAATATCTTTAGAAAAGAAGACTTGCCTTGAAGGTGCACTGAGATTTGTGTTAAGTGGTATATATACTGAAAGAAGAAGGGAAATACAGGAGTACTTCACATCCCTTGATTTCTTAGATACAGAATTATGTTTTATTAAAATAAGAGAAAAAGAAACGATAAAACCTGACTATGAGTTTCAAACCATGGCCACAATCAAACAAAGGCCATGCCACTGTAGTGAGCCAGGTTCCAAGAACTTTTTGCTGTTTTAAATCCTTTCTATAATTGCTTGATGAGTTAACCTCTGATGAAAAATATCAGCTGAGTTTGCTACATCACCCACACCTGCACCCTACTTTTATTTTATTTTATTTTTTTTAAAAAAATAGCTTTATTAATTTTTTCAGCTGCACCCCACTTTCTAACTCAGTAGGACGGTACACAAGATCTAATTTTCTGACTAGAAAAACACAGCATTTCCTTTCCTAGCACAACCACATGTCTTCTAAGGCAAGGGTGGCTGGAACCTCAGCTACAAGCCTGAATGTTCTTTTGGCTGATTTTCCCACTTTCTTTGTTCCTCTTTCCTGCCTGTTAAACACCACCATCACCACACCAGTTAATTTAAGAGCCTGAAGTAGGACCACTTACGCTGCACTTATTTTTCCTGTTTTGCATGCACCAAATCTATGATTTCAAATTCCCGTGTAGAAAAAACATGTCTTTTAAGAAGTTGTTTGAAACTTCAACAGAAGTATTTTGACCCTTTTGAATGAAGACACAAAAACTGTCTTCATTTTTTTATGAGAAAAAGTGACTTCTGTACCTATTGCTGTTTATCTCTTCCCCATAGTTTTGTTATCTTTTTTTTGTTTTCTTTTTCTTTTAAAAAAGCTATTTCATATGCCCAGGCTTTCTCAATCTTATCACTATGTTCCTTCAAAGGTCTATGGAAGTCCTATGCAATATCAAATGATGCTTGCAATACTCATTGACACAAACTTCAATGTCACTTATTGCTAGAGAGAGCAAGTGGTTTAAGAAATGTATTTCTATGCACAGACAACATATTTCCATGAATCTTTTACTTCTGGAAGTGGAGTTCACAAAAACATGGAGCTGTCCTTACTTCTCTGACTGGCAGATGCTACAAGATGCTACTTATCTGTCAGCAGAGCAGAAAAATGGTCTATTTATACAAACAGGTGTTAATATGAGGAGGATTTGCATACAAGACTCTCAGCTGCAACTTCTGTGCAAAGGATTAGGACTTTTAAGAAGAGATTGGACAACCATTTGTCTGAAATGGTACAGGGTTTCCTGCTTGAGCAGGGGGTTGGAATAGAAGACGTCCAAGGATCCTTCCAGCTCTGTTATTCTGTTATTTTGAATGTAATATGATCATACTGAAAACTGAAAGAGGACTGTGCACGTAGGAAGTTTTTTTGCTTGAGGAAGACAAAACAAAATCTCTTACTCCATGATGGATGGACAGCACTTTCTAAGGATAGCATTTTTTCGGAGGTATAGTATTGAACAGGCAGCATGCTAGAAATGGCCTGTTAAAAACTTATATAGAACAGTGCCAACAATAGCGATGACCAATCCCTTTTCTGTTTTTATTTTTCATTCTTCACCATATGCCCTGCTAGGGGGGTTTCAGAAAACTCTGGCCAAAATTCTTAATTTTGAATTAGCAATACAAAATTAAGCTTAAGCCTGCTGGTTGCTTACAGGAATAGCTATGAACAATAGTGGTATGGAAAACTTAAGACTGATGTGAAAACCTAGACTTCAAGAATCTAGGAAAAGTAGCAAAAATATATCATCTTTGCAAAGGTGATATATTTTTGCTATTCTTCCTAGATTCTTGAAGTTTGGTTGGCCAGGGCACGATGGACTAGAGAGGAAGGGAAGTTGGATTTTGGAACTTCCAGAATCAGTTTTGATTAAATGGCTATTAAGTCTTGAAAAATAAATAAAATAAATAGGGTTGTAATGGGGGAGAGACCAGTGTAGTGGCAAATGAAAAAAATACATATTTGAAAATGATCACCCTTAGTTTACACAACACACTAAGCAACACAAAAAGGAGCTTCATTAGCGTGTGCTTTGACATATTGTAAGAACCCAGGTGTTGCCATTTAATGTTATATAATCAAGACACACTTGAAGCCATGATATGTTTCATACTGTATGTTATACAAACATGCAATAGCAGTGTGGAAAAGAGGAATGTTGGAGTGATTTAAACACCTTTAAGTGGTGTTTAAATACCTTTAAGTGGGTATAATGAGGTAGGGAGAAATTTCCAGTAGCAGCAGCCAGGAATTTGTCTTCTCTGGAAAAGAAGCATTAAAAACAGTGGCTGTGCCAGAAACATGATAAGTTCAGACCTGGCTGCCTTCTTTTTGTTTGTTTGTTTGTTTGTCTGAATGGGCTACTTTTGTTCAGTGTTAATATAATAGAATATATTAAACATATAAAATTAGTCCTTCTCCCTCCCTCCCTCGTCTCCCCCTTTTTTTGGGCTTAAACTTTAAAGTCTCTGCAGTGCAGGGACATAAAGAGGAAGTTCATGACCTTTTCCTTTTTATCTCCCCTGTTGCTTATCACTTTTTTTTGATGCATAGACAGTTACTGTTCTGCTAACTCTATAAGAGATAAAGTCAACGTTTCGAGCTAAAGTCTGTTGGTGAAAAAAATGAGTAGATTTGCCCTCTGAATTCTTCCAAACTTGTAGCTTTTCTACCTGGAGAGGGTTTCTTCTCTGTTAGGATTCAGTCATACAGTTTTGCTATTACTACCCATTTCAATCTAAAGCTGCAGTCAGTGACAATTTTGCAAGAACAAGTCAGATTATAACCCAGGAGTCAAGATTTGACCCTCTTCTGTTTTTGCTATCCATATACTTCCTGCTTCCCATCAACAAATCTTTGTCCTGTGTCTGTTCCACAATATCTACTCATTCCTCACTCCCATCCCCAAGTCCCCACAAACATTGTCCTATATGTCTAAAAGCCCAGCAGACCCATTCAGATTATGGAAGACATTGCTGTATTGACATCTTCACAATGATGCTATTGCAGGTAGTCTTCAACTTACAACTGTTCATTTAGTGACCGTACAAAGTTACAACAACACTGAAAATTGACCTATGAGCATTTTTCACACTTATGACCTTTGTAGCATCTGCATGATCATGTGATCAAAATTCAGATGCTTGGCAACTGACTCATCACAGTTGCTATGACCCAAAGTCATGTGATCACCTTTTGCAATCTTTTGACCAGCAAAATCAATGGGGAAGCCAGATTCACTTAACAACCATGTTACTAACTTATCAACTGCGATGATTCACTTAACAACTGTGGTGAGAAAGGTTGTAAAATGAAGCAAAATTCACTTAAAAAATATCTCACTTACCAACGTAAATTTTGGACTCAATTGTGGCCGTAAGTCTAGGACTACCTGTACAAACAATAGATTTGTGGTAGTTTATTTATTATATATATATATATATATATATATATGAATTTTAGTTTTACAATTTATACTTTACCTTCTCTCTCTCTTCCATTAGCCAAATTATATTCTTTCACATCTTCACTGTTCTGCATGTTTTCTATTTCACGGTATGTGTTACGACTGCCATCATTCAAACTATCCCGTAAACCTGGTGCAGTTTTAATGAAAAGAAGACAAAGACAAATGATGAGGAAGATGATGAATCGCTGTAGCATGAATTTTAATGAGGTTTGAAACATTTAGGTCATTCTTTAGGTACTGGGTGCTTTGAGTATTGGATAATATAGCAAAGGCTTAATAATAAGCGCTCAGGTAGGAAGATAAATAAGTTTGTTAAGTTTTATATAATAAAGCTTCTCATAGGGAGGATTGTTGTTGGTTTGCACCATTTTCCAAAATGTTGTAAGTAGGTAAGAAGCTTTTTTAAGGCAAACAAAACTTAAGTAAGGTGGCACATTCCAATATTTGTCATTTGCTTCCAGAAGGATTCTTCCCAGCTTCTTATCTATTTTCCATTACAATTTTGAAATTTCGTAAAGCTTTCACCTTAGCCAGGCTGGATGTGTTGCCCTTGGCAGTCCTTTTTGGATGGATTAAGGGCACTCCTATGCACCTTCGCTGGTGTCCGTGTGGTGATCTATAGAAGCCCTAAGCCATACGCTGCTTCATTGTTCTTTATATAAAGACTCTAGACAGATTCTTATATATCTGATATTGAAGAAGTTTCCAGGTAGGGGATATGAATTTTATCTAAAGTTGCTACTTTCGGATAAGGATCCAAAAATATCAATTCAGGTTGCCCAATTTTGTGCCACCATTTGCACAATACGTCGCACCATTATCAAGGTCTGAAAAATTTTAATATGATGTTTTATTTTGAGAATTTCAGATTATATTACATTGATTGTTTGATGGTTTTATATTCTGTAAATATGGAAGTAAAATTGTCACTGCTGTTATACTTTGATTATGTCTGGCCTTATGGCTGTAATAAACAGATTGATTGAAGGAAGGAAATGAGAAAAGTTCAATGGCCCAAACCTGCATGTTCTGTCTGTTCTTGACAAAGGCTGAGGTCCAGGCCAACTGGGGAATCTAGAACAGGAAAACCCAAAGAAAGAATTCAGTCTTTGTAAACTCTGTACTGTATCACTTCAGTAGCACAAGCAGGTCCAGGGATTCCATGGGCTCAGAACTGTACAGTATTATTATTTTGTAAAATGACCTTTCGAGTTAGAGCCTTTTCCCAAAGTAACAGCTCTGAAAGAAATCTATACAGCAAGTCTTGTAATACTTGCAATGGAATTCATGTAATAACTATATTCCCAGACTTCCAGGTACAAATAAATTATCAGAAGAGAACATGGAAAATTCATTCTTAAAGTAATGCATATAATTCCTGGGTAGATTCTGATGCAAAATTTAATGAATGTATCTGCAAACTGAGCCTAGTTCAGATTTGCATCGTTATTGCATGGTCCTTGCTACATTGTGACTTCTTTGACCTCCTCTGAAATTTACTTAGGATAGGGTTGGACAACCTGTACCCTCATGTATGCACCTCAATACAGGATCATATTGAAGTTTTGTGGCAAGTTGCTCAATTGCCACTTTTTCTTTCTTCTTTTTGAGAAAAAAAAGAAGATAAGAATGGAAATGAAAGGCGTCTGAGAGGTGCACCATTTCCATCCTAACTCTGAATCCAATCCAGGTGTGAAAAAAAGGGCTTTTAGCCCAGTGTTTCTCAACCTTGACAATTTTAAGGCATGTGGACTTCAACTTCCAGAATTCCACAGCCAGCATTGCTGGCTGTGGAATTCTGGGAGTTGAAGTCCACATGCCTTAAAATTGTCAAGGTTGAGAAACACTGTTTTAGCCCATCCAGTGCTTCTCAACTGCCCAGACATTTCCCACCCAGGACATATAGGCCAATAACATGGCCTGATGTTTTTCATAGGCTCTTTTCCTTGCATGGTTGGTCTGTTTATTGCAAAACTGATCAACTGCAAAATGATCTACAACTGCCTTTGATGAAGATTAATCCATTTTCCCTCTCTTAAAGGTGATGCTACAGTCTCCCTTTTAAAGTTAATTTCTTCCTCTCTCTCCACTTTTAATCTCCTTATCAAAGAATCTGAAATCTTAAAATCTTGGTCCTGGCTGTTACATAACTGCAAAATTTAGCTCAGTTGAAGCAGCAGGAAAGTGTTAACCGCTTCCCTCGCTTTACCACCAAGGTTTATGGAACATACATGGGGCCTCTGCAACCTCTGAGTATGTAAACTTTGATAGCTGAAGACCTTTCCAAACCTTTATCAAAACACTACTTTTATTTCCCTGAATACTAAGTACCTTTGGGTGGAGGGAGTTCCAGAATTAGGAACACATTATGAACATGGACTGGAGTGAATAAAGGGAATTTAACCCAGTTTCTTCCCTCACGCTTCTTCACCACTTGCAAAAAAAAAAAAAAAAAAAAGGGCTGTAGCTTAAACTATAACATTTTAATTGTTCCTATCTCCAGATTATTTTTAAAATCTGTATTCATCGTATATCACTTAAAAAATAGGTACCTAATTCTGTGGAATTTGAGAAAATATTACTATGATAGTACTTTTTTTCCCTCTCCACATCACTTCAAATAGGATATGTATACTAGGACACATAATATTTGCCAAATAATGGAAATGAATTAGAAAAATTCTTCTTACATAATGTTTGAGACTGCAAGGTCAAGTAAAGCGAACCAGGTCCTGAACTATAAGCCAGAGCGTGATGGCCACTCATCCCCTACCTTCATCAACAATTGTTTCTCACATGTAAACTATGGATAGATGCTATCATATGGAGTCTTATTTGAGTGAGAAACCGAGAGAACTTCTTTGCTGAAATATTATTGAAAGCAATGTGCAGATCAGCAGCATAACAAAAAAGAAGGGGAATATCTCTAAACATGTAGTGGTTTCCTTTTTCTTACAATTATGGGACTGCATTGAGCTCTCTCATCCCATGTGAGAAAATAACGGGTTTCAAAATGACACTTTCAAGGAGAGCAAAGCAACTTCTTATTTATTTTTCTCCTTTTCTTTGATATTGGCAGAATTAAGCTAATAATCATCAAGTTTAGGAGTGTGGTGATCCATTGTCGCCAAAACATTGCATACCTTTCATTTTTTCATATTAAAAAAAACATTTATATACTTTCTCACGGGTTTGATGTTTGAGAGATTTGCCTCCCTAAATTGTACATTCCTGCAGAATAAATAAACAATAGCAGGTGCAGAGTCTACTTTAACAATCTGCCCTGCAAGGACTTCTGAAGCAAGGAGTGCTTGTGAATTGACCACAACAGCTTTCTTTTTTTTCTTTTTTTCAAGTAAAGGGGAAAAAAGCTAACAATGTTTGATATCAAAAATGAAAGTGATTGTACTTATTATAGAACAGCTGCAGCTTAAGCACATGTAACAAACTCAGTTATTTGAGAACTGAGATTGTATTGAGAGAGAATGTATTGGGGGACAGGTTGTAATAGAAGGGAAAGGAAAAACTGCCCTGAATTTAAGTCAATACTTTCTGGATGTGTGTACCCAATGCATTTCTGCTCCATCCACTCACTTCTGAGGTTTAAATTAAAAGAAAGTTGGAGAGAGAGGCTAAAATGAAGGCTGAAAACTGTCAGCATTAGCAACTTTCACTCACAGAGTTTTCAAATAGGGACTGGTGACCTCAAACTTTCTCAGGGACAAAAACAAAAGGAGGGAGGGGGAGATAAAAAGACATAAACGTCAGGGAGAGATCATAATAAGATTTATTCCCAATAAGAAAAAATAATTGGAAAAACTTGCCCAAGAAATAAACAAACTAAAGGACAACATCTGGGATTTTTACTAATGTCTGGTAATTCATTTGATATAAAGAAAAATCATTTAGTCCTAAGGCCTCACATTTGTAGGTTGTGCAAGGTAACAGTTTAATGATCCATAGTTCACATCTAGATGTCCATAGAAGGCCTGCATTCACCAATAACATGAATCTTCCCATTACAAATTACCAATGTCAACTACTGTAAATCCTTTTTTTTTTACCTTTAAGACCTGGGACAGACCTTCAAAAACTATAAATTAGTTTTCTGTATGAAATAGACAAATCTTCCAATCATAAACATCTGGATATATTTGGGCTGCTAATGCCAGGAACCCAAACAGAAAAAGGCTGATCAAATATTTCATCTTTGTTTAGGGAGAAATTGTACGGTGGCCCATCAAGCACATTGGTTGTTTAGGAAACACAATCTCTGAAGAATAACTAAAAGACCAATACAGTATTTAAAATGAATAAGGGGCAAATTATACACCTAAAATCCTCCAATCTACAAAGGCCAAGAAAACCATTCTAACAATTGCACAGAACAGACCTATGGATGCTAATTCTTCATTCACAGGGAGAAGAAGCAACTGGGGTTGGAGAAACAAAAGGAATCAGATCTAGAATCTGGACAACCACCACTAAGGATATCATTAAGTACCCCTCCTTCTTCATGCTACCATTCCCAACTTTTTCTATTAAAAAAAATTAACATCCTTTTCTATTTAAAATGGAGTCCCAGGTGATGTTTTGTTATTCACATTTGTATAGTAGAATATTTCAACTTCTCGTTACCCTAGATTTTTAATTTCTGTTTTCTCAAGATAATAAAAATGGCTCTAATCTTAGGGCATAATATATATTTGTATATCTTTGCCTGCAAAAAGGAAATAGGGAAGAGTTTGATAGAAAAGTTTAAAAGCTTCTAAAAAATTTTTATGAGCTCCCTCACTTTCTCTAGAGCATTATATTTTAATATATATATGATCACTACCTAACAACAGGTCAAAAGATTGCAGGACAGGCTCAGAAATCTTTTTTTTTCAAAAATTTTCTCTTTTTTTCTCTTCCTTTTTTTAAAGCAAAGAAATCTTAATCTTTGCATTAATCTTTTGCATTATATTTGCCTATTTTCTTGCTCTGCAGTGATCATCTGAATTTTTTCAAATCTAAAATAACATGGGTTGGGATAGGTCAATGAAGCAACATTAAAAATATTAAAAATCTAAATCTTCAATTTCAAAAAAGAAGTATAATCCATGCTGGACTAAATAAAATTGAAAGAATGCAACTTGAAAATAAATTTTGTTTCTGACATTAGGAAGAAAATCAAAGACACCTGCCTCGTTTTTACTATGTTGATCCTAAAAGTATATTTTAAATTGAATACAATCTGAAAAAAGCAGTGTAGTGGTGTTTTACATTTATACACAAGCATATAAATAGCAAACATGTTAAATCCTACTGTTCACAAGTTTGTATATTCCTCTCTCAAACGGAACACATAGACATAAAAAGTATATTTGTTTTGATGTGTTAGTGCCAACTCACTAGATGCAGAGACTTTTTAAAGGTGTAGCACACTTTAAAAATGGTTTTGGCACTATGCAAACATTGCTGCTAGAAGCAAATCATGTTGACTGAGAGGAATTCCCCACTGATTTGAAAAAAAGCTTTCTTTTAAATAAGCACATGAAATTTCACGTGTGACAGAAATTTTTAGAGCACAAATTCACTTGACAGGTGGGATCTCTTAATATCACTTATGGAATTATAGTAAAGAGTTCAACTTGTTACGCTGAATAAAGAACTTTAGAAATTCAAAATACTCTTAACAGTGGCAGATAACATTTATGACAGGTAACTGATTCTGATTATCTTGGTTGCAGCGACATTTTAAACTTCCAGATTAAAATGTTTGAAATATGCAATATTTGTACAATTTTGCATCTGAAATTATACCCTGATATAACAAATAAAGAGGAAAATGGGGATTGTATAGTAATAACCAGATCCTATTCAATACATACTTACTTGTGGGAGGAGATTTTACTGATTTTGATAGAGTTTAACTTATAGAACATTTTTAGGAATTCCTTCTTAATTGCTTCTAAAGGTTCTAACCTATGACAAATATTTTCTATTAAAATAATTCCAAATATATAGTCAACAAAAAACATGTACTGTAAATATATATATATATATATATATATATATATATATATATATATATATATATATATATATATATATATATATATATATATATATATATATATATATATATATATATCATGTTTTGAGTAGCTATGAGAACCAGAAAAAAAGGTAAACCTTTCTCTTGTAGTTTTTAAAGGGACATTTTAGGATGTTCTTTGCAGGTTTAGAAATACAGCCGGTTTTGGGGGGGAGGGAGGTTCTTGGTAATATCTTTATAAATCCTATCATTCTGTTAGAAATATATTGGTTCGTTCAATATTATTTAAGAAAAATAAAACTGTTGGAAAATCCTAATAACAGAGGCATAGGAAAGGAAAGGAAAGGAAAGGAAAGGAAAGGAAAGGAAAGGAAAAAAGGAAAAAAGGAAAGGAAAGGAAAACTCTGTAAATTGAGAAAAGTAAGTAAGAAATTGGAGAAGAATTTCTTATTCTGACAAAGTGTTGTCACTATTATTTCTCCAAGATGGTAAAGTTAAAATCTTGCGTGTGTGTGGGGGGGGAGGATGCTTAAGTAGGTGATGAAAAGAAAATAAATTTTAAAGCAAAAATACTTTTTAGAAATGGGTAATTCAGATTTCTAAGTGTGCTGAAAAATAAAAGAAACTTGAGTTTTACTAAAATAAAATCAATAGAATTCTAGTAAATCTCTCACCTTCCATTTTGTTTGGTAGCAGCAACTAGTCAGAAAGCTTCTCTCCAGGGTTCAGGGATTCCACTGAACTTCAGAAAGGAAGGAAGATTCCCAAATAGGCAGGTTTCAGATTCAAAAAAAAGAGCTGGGTTGCAATGCAATAATGAGATGACAAGGACAGGAAATGGTTAGAAGTTGTGAAGAAACAGGGCGCCCTCAAGCTGTGAGGAAGGTGGTCCAGTGGGTGTAAATCATATTCCCAAACCATAGTAATTGTAGAGTTGTTGATATTATTCATTCCAGGCTGAGAACCTACAACTGTTTTCCAAACTACTGCTAAAGGAAACAAAAGCACTTTTTCATGATGCCTAAAAAAAGAATGTTGAATTTGATAGGGCTTAATTCAGACAGAAAATAATACCTCCTAATCAGAAAGTCTTTTATTTTGTCAGACAGAGTAAGTTTCTTTCTTTCTTTCTTTCTTTCTTTCTTTCTTTCTTTCTTTCTTCTTTCTTCTTTCTTTCTTCTTTCTTCCTTCCTTCCTTCCTTTCTTTTTTCTTTCTTTTTTCTTCTTTCTTTCTTCTTCTTTTTTTTTTCTTTTTCTTCTTTCTTTCTTTTTTTCTTTCTTCCTTCCTTCCTTCCTTCCTTTTCTGTCTTAGAATTTGGTAACAAAAAGAGCAAAGTTCCTCAGATTGTTATTCATCTTAGATTTGCCACAAATTTTTGTTATGTTAAATCTAAACATTGGAAAACGTGGCCTATTTTCTCAGAAGTAAATTCCATTTATAGTTACATCGCATACAGTTCTGCCATACAATATTCATCACCACTCTCTGCCCCCAATGATTTCTGGTTGTGGCAACAGCCCCCTCTTGCAAAGGGGAGAACCAGCCCTAAGGGGGGGACGCACCATTTCCATAAAGCCTTAGTTGAACCTACTGAGTCCAGCAGTCAACTGAGGGATTTAGAAGCTATTTGTTCTTCGCCTGAACGCTGAGCATTATATGGGACATTTGGCAATAGACAGCCAGGCATTAGCCCACCAGAGCTGAAGTGAATATGTCCACAAAGAATCCCAACGTTCTCTGGAATCTAGTTGAAAACCAGTAAAGGAGAAAGGTAGTCATGGTTACAGTTGGTTGACAGTTGGAATGCCATGTGGGTGAGGAAGGGAACTTCTTGCTCTTTTTTCTTCTGTATGGACAGAAGGCTGCCTAGGCCCGAGTAGGAGGAAGGATGGGCTCTCTCTTGCACTATGCAAGGTGGCAACACTTGGTTAACTCTTTCTCTCTGCATTGTCCTGCACCTAATCTTCCCTGCAAGGTTTGTGCTGAATGGTGCCATGGCCCCAGAGCAAGGTATATGGCATCTTATAAACTGTGTGTATAGGACAAAGGTGGAGAACTAAGAAGTTGAGTAACATTCTGTCTCTCAATAATCTGCTGAAGACCTTCATATTTCTCTAAAAATGCTGAGGGCATCAGAAGGAGCATGGCTGATTTGGAGGGGGGGTGAGAGATCCATTCTTCCCCAACAAAAGAGGGCAAATCACTACAGTTCCCACTTTAAACACTCCCCAAAAGCAACAGATCAATTTGCATAATGAAAAATAATGCAAATGTATACCTTCCACATTGCACTGTTATTTATCCCATATTTTTGCTCAGAAGACTGACTTATTTGTTTATTGCTCCCTCCCTTCCTCTCTCCTTTATCTTTTATTATTCCTTTCTATATTCTTGTGATTGAATCAAATCTGGTCAATTTCAAGTTAAGAGAAAGCATGTCCTTAAAGTTTCTTAGAGCAGAATCCTTGATTTTCAATATACTGGTTTTATTTTTGTGCCCATTCCCTGGACTATCCCTCGGAAATAAATTATGCACCATCTGTTTTACAGTTTTATTTGTATCACCATTTTTGTATTTACAAATATGTTTTTTATAAATTTACAGTCCATGGTTAGGATTCCACTTTTTTGAAATAACAATTTGTTTTATCTTAAAATTTTTTGGGGGGGTGTTATTATTTATTATTGTAGATTTCCAGGATACATTGCATATGTCAGGAATTCTTTATGGTTCCTCTATTTGTTTAATTATTTTCTAATAATTTATTCTGATTAAGTTTTTCTTAATAAAAAGTCAACATATGGAATAAAAAGAGAAATCTGAGAAAACAATGCAAAAGATTAAAAACTAGTTTTTATTTCCCTGAACTACATTCCATTCTCTTTTACCCTTGGAGTAATTTTAAGGTATGGGTAACTTTTTTTTTAAGAAACATTATTCTCCTTTGAGGTTCATCAGTAGTTTCTCAGTTAAAAGATTCCTAAATAGTTCTTTTCCATAGAATTTGTTAATCTGTGAAGTCTTTGTTCCAGTTTGCAATTGCTTGGTGTAGGTATTTGCTTCCTCAACTTGAATAAAGCAATGGTGAGACAGAAATTATCTGTACAAGGTCCCTGATAAATGTTTTAGAATCCTAGAATCATCCAGCAATTTTATGGGAAATGAATTCTTAATAAATTCAACCATTTTATTCGTTTATTTAGTTTTTGGTTTTTTATCCTATTATTGTTGTTGTTGATGATGTTATTGTTGTTGTTGTTTTATAACTCAAGTCAGCCCGTGGTGGGATTCAGCTGGTTCACACCACTTTGGCAGAACCGGTAGCTAATTTTTTTTGTTGCCCAGGCCCAGGATGGACTTCTGGAAGCAGCATCCACACAGAGAACTGGCTGTTCACATATTTGAATCCCACCACTGAAGTCAGCCAATATATGTCATGTGGTTCCTGTTTTCTCCACAACAACAATCTTTTGCCTTGGGTTAGGTTGGGTTGAGAGACAGTGATTAGACTAAAATCACCCAGCAGGCTTTCATGCTTAAAGTGGGACTAGAACTCAGAATCTCCTGGTTTCTGGATCAGCATTTTAACCACTACACCAAACTAGTTCAAGTATTTATTAACAATGGAATGTTTTGAAGCTTCTATATTGCAGGTCATCACATTAACTCCCCAGAGTAAGTCCATAAATGCTAGACCTCATTCCCAAAATAAGCTACTTACAATCAAAAGCATCAAAGGAGGTTTTTTTAACAACTGATTAATCTAAGAACTAGATTTAAAGTTTAATACTTTAGAAATAATAATTTGCCCACAAAGGGGGGGGGGGAACCCTGAAGGTTTATCCATACTGACCATGGATTAGTAATCAAGCAGCAGTAATCAAGTGCATATGAAAAATTCCAGGTTTGGAAAAGTATATGATTATATGACCCAGCAGAAGTAACTATTAAAAGTGCACACAGGTGTATTTTTTGGCTCTGTGTGATTACATAGTCAGCTGCTGCCTCTGAAGAAAATTATATTTATTATCCAAAAACCTTGTTTGTAAAATATTAATATGGAGCAATAAAAGATTCCAAATAGTAATACCAATCATTTAATAATTTAATAATTAAAAAATTAAAAAAAATAGAAGTAGGCAAAATCTTTCCTGATAACCCCAGGGCAATGGCTGGCAGATAATATATGAAAAGCCTGGAAGCATGTCTTTTGCTTAAACTGGATTAAGCCATGGTATAGTGGTAGCTTGACTCATAAGGCAAAGTCTAGGACCCCACAACTAATGGATGGTTAAAATAACCACCCAAGAATGAATTGAAAAATATTTATGAAAATTCCAAAATATCCTTTTAATACTCACACACACACACACACACACACACACACACACACACACACACACACACATTATATGCTAAAAATAAGATTACACATACTCATGCACTGGTATATATTTTAAAAAATCATTGGGAATAAACTTTTCCCCACTGCATATCAAAAATGTAAAGAGAATTATAAATCTAGGAACTGGAGAGGGAGGGGGAGACAGAAATGTTAATTGTATGTTTTACAAATTAAGATTGGACACTTCAACATCTAAGTCACAGTTTGTCAACCTTGACAACTTTCAGAGGGTGAGCTTCACCCCTAGAATTCCCAGCTACCAATTTGGGAGTTGATGTCCATCCATTTGAAAACTGCCAAGATTGAGAAATGCTGATTTAAGCAATAATGATCTCTGCAAGATGATAATGATAATGATGATAATGATGATAATGATGTGGTTTAAAGCTACCTATTTGCAACAGTAAGCAAAGAAAAACAGCTGTGTGCCTTTATTCCAAGAAGGCATTTGGGAGTTTATTAATACTTGATACACAAGGGACTGAACTAACAAGTCACGGATAGTCCTTTTTTGGGGAACAGCTTCTAAGTCAGGGGTGTCCAAACTTTTTTCAAAGAGGGCCAGATTGGATGAAGTGAACGTGCTGGAGGGCCGAACATTTTTCCAAGCATTCTTTGAACCATTACAATTAAATGCAAATGAATTATTGTATGCCTCTTTCCTCTCCCTCTCTTTCCTCTTTCTCTCTCTCTCTCTTTCCTTTCCCTTTCCTCTCCCCTCTCTCTCTTTCCTCTCCCCCTCTTTCTCTTTCCTCTCTCTCTTTCTCTTTCCTCTTTCTCTCTCTCTTTCCTCTAACTTTCTTTTTCC